AACAAATACCCTATACTCAAAAGGAACTATTTCCTCTTCCAAAAAACTCATGCAATTTTTCCTCTTTGGGCCAAATTTGGCTCAAATTTCCCTATGTCTGCCAAAATCTTACCACCTTCCAATGGCACTTCCTCTTGGGAATCTTCCCTGATCCACTCCCACAGAGGAAATAATTTCTTTTTCTTCTCCTCTCCCTTTCCACAATGCTAATATAGTACTTAGTTAGTACTTGTGTACCATCTCCTCTCACTGAACTATGAATTGCAGGAAGTCAAGGGATATGCACCTGAAATAGTGTACAGCAAAGAGTAGATACTCAATACTGATTTAAATAACTATGTGGGACTGGAAAAATCCAAAAATTAAAGTATACAATTCTGCTCAACAAGATAAACTTAAAGAAGTGACCAGAATGAAAAAAACACATAAAACTAAAATAATTAAAACAAAAATGCTTTACACATGCTTATATTTGCATAGAAAACTTTAGAAGAATTTGTAAGAAACCTAAGAGTAGTTGTGTCAGAAAAGGGAGGCTGTGTAATCTTTTCTGCTATCTAAATTTCTTTGCCAAGTCAGGTATTTAAAAACACTTAAGGGGGACCTGGTAACTCAGTCAGTTAAGCGTCCAACTCTTGATTTCAGCTCATCATGATCTCACAGTTCATGAGTTAAAGCCCCGCATCAAGCTCTGCTTGATAGAGCCTGCTTGAAATTCTCTCTCTCCCCTCTCTCTATGCCCCTACCCCACTTGCTCTCTCAAAATAAATAAACTTAAAAAAATTTTTTTAAGTACTTAAAAATGATCATTACAAAGACTATGAAATGGCATGGAAAATGCCATGTCAACATTAGATATTTTTAAAAAGGAAATCACAGAATGACAAATAAAAAAATATACCTGTAGCTATACAAGGACTAAAAGAAAATGTGAAAAAAGGGGAAAAAGGGGAAACATGTAAAGAACTGGCTTAAATACATTCTGATTACTTTTACTTGTAATTTTTCTGGGTTAATTTTCTCTTAACATTTGTCAAATATGTGGTATGAATCACAGACACTAGACTATTGTTTATATATAAGGGGGAAAAAAGACTGCACTAAGGGGGGAAAAATGCCACAGGTGGCTTGAGCTTGCTTTGTAGTTGATTTAATTACTCGTTATTTTTTAAATAAACTTCATCAAATTTTTATTTAAACCCTTTTATCAGTGATATTTTTGCTACCACTTTCCTGTAGTAAAAAGTGGTAAGGGAGCAATATCGAGCACTAGAAACTTCACTGATTTTAAGTATGGAAATTCGTTTTGTAAATAAATATAGCCTCTGCACTCAAAATATTAAAGCTCTTTTTTTTTTTTTTTAAGTGTTTTGAGATAGTCCCTAAAGGCTGATCCCTTCTCAGGTTTTAGGTCTCAGCTCAAATATCACCTACTCAGAGAAAACCTTTCCTGATCCATCTATCCAAAGTAGCCCCCTCTCTCTATATATATCACAAACTGAAATAATGTTTATTCTTTGTTTACAGATTTATTTTCTATTATTTTCCACTTGAATGCAAGCTTCAAGAAGGCTGGGAACTTGTCTGCCTTCTATTGCTGTATTTCCACAGGAATTCAGTAATATTTATTGAGTAAATGGGGACTTTAGGTAGCAAAAAATGGAGAAAATTATAAAGCTGATCTACTGTTTACTTTTAACAAACATTTCCATTTTTCTAGGGCCTGTTCCAAATTTAAAGCTCTAGAAGAAAAACGGGTGGACCCACCTTTAGGAAGCTTATCAAGATGCTCACATTAGGCAGTAGTGAGAAGTGCCATTTTGGAAGGATAAATCAAATGCTACAGAAATATAAGAGGCTGGGTTAAAATAAGAAGTCACTATGGTGATAGTAGCCCCATTTAAGCCAAAACTTGAAGGCTAGCTAGAGTTTGGATAGGTGAAGAACAGGCATAAGGCGAGCATTCTAGACAGGAATTGGCATACAGATGTAGAGGCAGAAGATTTCAGTAAGAGTGACTAGTTGAACATCAAGATCACACAAGGGAAAGGTAGATAACAAGGTAGGTTACTGTCAGGTTGTAAGTCTTCAAAAGCAGTCTAAGCATCTGAAATTATCTCTACACAACTGGAGGGGTCTCTCTCTGCAGGTCTTCAAACAGTTGAGCATGGTCTCAGCACAGCACTGTTACAGGAAAATTATTCTGGCAGCGACTGGCCAGATAGACTGGAGTGAGAAAGAATAGGTGCTTGGAGGCTTAGTTAGGAGGTTACTTCAACAAAGTGGGCATCAGGCTCTGAACTAAGGTTTAAACATTACAGAAAGTCATAGACACATGACATGTTAACTCTGCAGTCAGAAAGATCTAGGTGTGGGGAAAAAAAAAGAAGAAAGATCTGGGTGTGGAATACTAAGTCTATATTTAATACCTCTATCAGTTTTCTAAAAAATAGCTTTATTAAGATATAATTTGCATAGCATATAATTAACCCAAAGCGTACAATTAAATAAATGGTTTTCAGTATATTCAGAGTTGTGTATCTATCATAATAATCAACTTAGAATATTTTCACTCGTCCAAAAGGAAACCATCTCCTTAGCCATTATCCCTGAATCTCCCCACCCCCTACACCTTCCAACATACCCAACTCCTCATCTACTTTCTGTCTCTATATATTGTCAATTCTGGATATTTAATGTAAATGGACTCACACAGTGGTTATTTGTGAATGGCTTATTTCATGTGGCACAACTTTTTCAAGGTTCATCAATACTGTAGCATGTATCAGTACTTCATTCCTTTTTATTGCCTGATATTCCATTTTTGGGATATACCACTTGTTATTTACCTATTCATCAATCTGTGGATATTTGGGTTGTTTGATTTTTTGGCTATTATGATGAATACAGCTATGATAACAGATGTATCAGTTTTAATGTCTATGAAATAAAGATAATAATTCTTATCAAGTTTTAAAAGATGTAAAGAATAATGCCTGGCACAGAATAAATGTTCAAGAAATATTAGTTTCCTTGTCCCTACATTTTAGGTAAACTGAAGATTAAGTAATTTATCTTTCTACCACGACTCAACTGTACTATCTTCAACCTAGCAAAACCTTTCCCCAGTCAAATGTATGCTTCTCCTGCCTCTTAGGATATTCCTTCATCATTTCTTACAGATTCTGTCATCTTTTGCTAACAGAACTCACAGTCCCCCTTCTTTCTCTCTTTCTACTCCCTAAATGCTGAATGAATGTCATCTTGTGTTTTGCTCATGTTTCTATTTATACAAAGATTCAAAGAACTATTTTTTAACCTCAACATTGCTTTCCTTCCCTTCACTCTTCTGTCTTATCTTACACTCCATCTGACATCCTGGTGCTGCTTCAAGTTAATAGCGCTAGATGGAAATTTTCTTATCTCTAAAATCTCCCTCTTGCCCAGTTTCCATGCTATCAAAACTGATGTTACTATCATTAACCTTTTTTTTCCTCATAAATACTTATGTTAAGGACCATGTACATCTTGCAAACTATTTACACAATGCAATTCACTACCCATTTTCAAAGAAATGTACTTTAAGTACGACTGTGATTTAAAAATATTACCAAATCTTACAGGGCACCTGGGTGGCTCAGTTAAGTGTCCAACTTTGGCTCACGTCCCGATTTCAGGGTTCATGGGTTCCATCCTTGCGTGGGGCTCTGTGCTGACAGCTCAGAGCCTAGAGCCTACTTGGGGTTCTGTGTGTCTCTCTCTCTCTGCCCCTCCCCTGCTTGCACTTTTTCTCTCTTTCAAAAATAAACATATATATGTAACAAATAAAAATCTTACCAAATCTTAAAACTCACCCATGCAAACCTTAAAGAACAGAATGCCAACCTTATAATTATCAAATTTTTAAAAAGAAGTCTCATAACCTTTTCCCCCCTTTTATTTATACACTCGTTCTAGTACGTTCAGCACTATGACAGTTACTGATGTGGAGTTCTAATCTTGCACGAGGAACTGTATCTCCCAAAATTTTGTTGACTCAGTCACTTCTTCCTTTGCTCAACAAGCCGGAGTCAGAGATACTAATTAGATGTCACTCCCTTTCCACTACTAGACCATAATTACTTTCAACCCAGCTGCCAAACAATGATGGTTCTTCCGGTTTGGTGGTTTCATTCCTTCTCTAACCTAGCTGACCTAAGTTTGGAGCGATTTTTATGAAAGTCGTAAGTGACATGGCAGAAGAGCAGAATATCAACCAACAAGCAGTAGTACAGCCCTAACAGCAGTGAGTGGCCCTCAGAGTATAGACAGAGATGTGAAGGTGCAGCTTTTGCCCTGAGATTTAATCATCCAAATGGCTCCTTCTCATGAACTCTTTAGAAAAGTGAGCTCCTCTAGAAACACAGGAAGAAGGATCTGTTCAACAGTCAGCGTTTGTTTTTGTTTTTGTTTTGTTTTTTTCTTCTATTAGAAGACATTGAAAAGTGTAGTTCCAGAACCCTGCTTGGTACTAAAATGAAGAAACATAGCAAGCAGTCTTTGGAAACAAGTGTGAGGAGAAGGGGAGGAGCGGGTTACAGAAACACAGTGCCCAGACCGTACTGGGTGCAGAGACATCACCGACTGGTGGGGCTCCCGGGGGGGAACCAAGGAGCGTCGAGAGCAACGCCGAGGATAGTCACAAGGGCCGAGGGAGAAAAATCCGGGCTGGGGGCCGCTCACCCAGGGCGGGGCCTCGGGGCCAGAGCCGGGCCGAGGCGACGGGGTGCCAGACGACAGCTAGAAGGCCACACGCTCCCGCACCCTGCCCATCCCTGAGGCTAGCAGGAAATAGGGTTAGGAAGGCGAGCACGAAAAAGTCCTAACAAGGACCTGGGTCCCAAAGCAACAAGTGCCCGCGGCGGCTTCCCAAGAGACTGTTGGTCTGGGGCAGGATAGCAAGGCACGACGCGGCGGCCTCCTGGCCTTCCCTCTCTCAGCCCCTGCCCCACCGCACTCACTCTGCCACACCACGCTCTTCAGCCCCCGCTCCGTCACCGGCGGCGCCATCTTCCCAACACTGCGGAGGAGCAGCCGCCGCCTCCCGCTGGCAACCTACTTTAGGAGAAAGAAGCTCGGAGTGGCCCCGCCCCCACTCACGGACCGCGCCCTCCGGTAACGTCACGCGCTACCGCCAGGGGATTCCCGCCCACGCCTGGACGGAGGCTGCGCAGTGCGGGTGGAATCTGTGTGGGCAGTCGTGCGCCCCCTAGCGGGACTCTCTGTCAGCCGAAGTTCAAGGACCCGTGACGTCAAAAAGCGAAGTCGTGCCTGTGTGTTACGAGTTAACCTGATATAAAAAATTCCGAATGCACGCAGATGGTATTTGAAAAAGGAATGGGTCATTCTTTCGCTTTGCAAAAGAACTCTTCACCTGGCGAAGCCGTTCATAATAGACTCCACTCAGCAGCCCCCTCAACTACTGAATAGAAAATTTACCCATTAAAGTCTATTGTATTCATTTTTCAAGGACATAGTAATTGTGTAGAACTCTTGAGGTTCCCTCCAGTGTGCCCCGACCTATGCAGGACTTTCAGGAAACTCAAAGAAGTGAGAGACCCACTTCTGAAGAATTATAAATCTCATTGGAGAACTCAATTCCTGGTATGCTGAAGATAGTCAAAAGTTGGTTGAAAAAGCGAATGCCTTCATGATGATAATATACGTAAATGAACCAATAAAACAGTAATTATTTACTCAACAAGCATAAATTCATGTGCAAAATTGTGTGAGAGAGGACATCAATGCTTTAGGATTTAAAAGAAGGGGTTATTGTTAAAAAGGGATTCACAAAAGAGGTGATTTGAGCTTAGACTTAACAAGTTTAAGCAGTTATTTCCTGAGATGGTGCTTTTGAGGTGAAATCACAGTAATCAATCATGAATGAAATCAGTTTAGTTGCTGAGAGCCCCATCTGTCACTAACCATCATTTACACTGTCAGAAAGTAGACTTTCCCATAGATTTGCAAAGAATCAATGGTCTTAATTCAAGTTGGTCACATAGGAAAGTGGAAATATACTCTTAATGATAATGGCTAATATTTACTGAGTGCTTACTACATACAAGGTATTATGGTAAGTGGATTATAACCCTTAAAGATAAAGAAACTGATAGTGAAATAACTTCCCAAGGATGCTCAGCTTGTGGTATAGTGGGAACTAGGATAAGGCATAAGCTACACAGAAAGCAATAAAGTAGTCTGTGGAACAAGCTGCAGTACTTGCTCTTTAGGAGAGAAAGAGAATGATGAATAAAAGCAGCCATAAAATAGGTTCAAGCACAACATGTGGCATGAATGGTTTTTCCATTCATGGCTTATATGGGAATGGAAGCTGGAGCTCTGGCCTCTTAAACCTACTTTAAATGAACTCAGCTGCTCAGAATTTTAAACAAATGAACGCATTTATTTTCCTCTCCCTTTTCAATTTAAAATCAGGTTCTGCTTAGTATGGCAGGATAGAGCCCCAAGCCATCAGAGAAAGACATGACATTGCCGACTCATCCTTCTAAAATGGAGCTCCTTGCCCTAGACAGTCAAACCAAGACAGAGGAGTGAGGGGGTAAAATTCCTCCATCTCCTACCTTGAGGAGAATGACCCAGTGTCAGAGAATGAAACAGTACAGCCCTTTGGGGCTGGAAGTTTGCCTCGGACCACATGGAGTACAGCTGTGGTTCATGCCCCTGAAGATTCCAAGGTGGGAGTGTGTTATAGGAGAACAAATGTGGTCCTTAGCTGCACAAAGACATGGGTCCACAACCTATAAATCCTGGCTCTGCCTCTCAGTAGCAGTGTGATTGCATTTATGTGTTAACTATGAGTATAATATCTAAAACCTCACAACAGCCCAACAAGATGAAATACTTATTGCCATTTTACAGATGTGAAAACTGAGATTCAGAAGTTAAATAAATCATGCAAGACCTCAGGACAGCTCCAAGACTATTGCCCTTTCTATTGTACCGTATTGCGTACCCTCCCTTGCCGCCTTAATTTCACATAACCTCCCTGAGCTATATCTCTAGTCTCCTTTACTTTATTTGCCTAAACAAATTGAACAGGGGATTTGAATTCCCTGAACATGACATGGCAGAATTACAGGTAAAATCCAACAACACTGATCAGAGGCAAAAAATTTGCTTTGCAGGAAAAAAACAAAACAAAACAAAAAAACCATCAGAACCCAAAAAGCAGAAAAACAGCCAGAATAACCAAGGGCTGAATTAGAGTGGATCACTCACCCAACATCTTATTCTCAGGTCTTCTTTATCAATAACTGATGACTTAATCATGATAATCCAGAGAAATATTCTCCATAAAAATATCATGAAAAAAAAATCATGGACTTTTACTTGGTGCCCTGAGAATTTGTGTTTCAACTGGTTAGCTATGTAAACATGAGTGAGTTACTTGATCTTTCTGAGTCTCATTTTCCTTATCTGTATGAAAGAATATTATCTAGCTCATAGAGTTGTTCTGAGAATGAAATGAGTATGTGGAAAGCACCTAGAAGCACATGATATGTGCCACATCCATGTTTTGGTTTTATGTTCACCAGTGTGGACCCCATTGTCTTCTGTGGAATTCTGACTGAAGCACCTCAGCCTCAGATGCCTAGTTAAAATAGATGATGGGGCGCCTGGGTGGCTCAGTCAGTTAAGTGTCCAATATCTGCTCAGGTCATGATCTCATGGTTCATGAGTTTGAGTCCCGTATCTAGGCTGTCAGTGCAGAGCCTTCTTGGGATTCTCTCTCTCCCTCTCTTTCTTCCCCTTCCTCACTCTCTCTCTCTGTCTCTGTCTCTCTCTCAAAATAAATAAACTTAAAAAATAGATAAATAAAATAGTTGATAGATAACCATTTCATTTTCTGTGTCCTGGTATTCATAAGGTATAGGTATATAGGATGCAGTTCCCTGGTGTCCTAAAATCAGGGATTCTGACCTTTGTTTGGCCTTGGCCTTTGGCTCTTTGGCCATGTCCAATCAGCCATGGACACAACTCTACTCAGAACACCCTGCTGGCAACTGGGATCAACACACAGTCTCACATGGGCCCTGGACCACAGCTCAGAATGTTGCCCCAGTTCATGGTGCCCTCATAGGGCATGGAACCACTCTGAACCTCATGGACCCTTCTAGATCTTCTCACCAAATCTTTCCTCACATGCCACATCCCTCTATCTTGTGTTAAATTAAACAAGAAATCTATTAAAGCAAGGTGGTTCTAATGCCTTAACATCCTGTATAAGCAAACCAAAACCTAAGTCTGTAAGCATCTCAAGATTAAGAAATCAAAGTCTAAGGACAACCAAACAGCCAATTAGGCTTTCCCAAATACAGAAACCACTTAAGCTATAGCCAATTAAACAATACGCTTGATATGCTCCTGTCTCTTCTCTATGAAAGTCTTTTCTTGAGATCCTGTCCGTGGAGTACTCCTAACTACTTCTGTTCTGGTGGTGCTGAATTAGAATCAGGTTCTGATAAAACTCTCAAATTTATTAGTATGCCTCAGTTTATCTTTTGACACTTCTCAGACTCTCATCACTGAAATTTTGCTTCAAGGAAGAGCACACCACTGCAAACCTGTTAAGTTTCCCAAACCTGGCCACGTGTTACTTGGTGAGTTTGTTGAAGATATAGATTCCCAAGCCTGGTCCTAGACATACTGAATGAGAATCTCCAGGGGTGATATCTGGGAATCTTTATTAAGCAATGAGTTCTCCCAGTGATGTGGATGGCTCCTGTTCATATACTGGTGTTTAAGAACAAAAGTAAGAGGCACCTGGGTGGCTCAGTTGGTTGGGCATTTTTTTTTTTTAAGGTTTATTCATTTTTGAGAGAGAGGGAGAGACAGAGCACGAGTGGGGGAGGGGCAGAGAGAGAGGGAGACACAGAATTGGAGGTAGGCTCCAGGCTTTGAGCTGTCAGCACAGAGCCCAATGCAGGGCTCGAACTCACGAACCATGAGATCGTGACCTGAGCAGAAGTTGGATGCTTAACTGACTGAGCCACCCAGGTGCCCCATGGGCGTCTGACTCTTGATTTCAGCCCAGGTCATGGTCTCAAGGTTCGTGGGTTTGAGTACCTCATGGAGCCGCACATCGGGTTCTGTGCTGACAGTGTGGAGCCTACTTGGGATTCTCTTTCTCTCTCTCTCTCTGCCCCTCTGCTGCATGCTTTCTCTCTCTCTCTCAAAGTAAATAAAACTTTTTAAAAATAACAAAAGGGAATTGTTATTTTTTAAGAAAAGTGAATTGGGA